CACAAGAGCCGTTTTACTCGGTATTTACAGTACTTTCGTGATGGCGGACCCTCTTCTATGATGATGGTTGATGATGGTGATCATGATGATGATGATGCATGATGAAGGATGATGATGGATGATGATGACCGATGATGGTGGTGGATTGAGGCGCCAGGTGGTTGGTAGGAGGGGGGGGTGGCTAGTAGTAGTAGTAGTAGTAGTAGTAGTAGTAGAGAAAGGATGGCTCTGCAGTAGTAGTAGTAGTAGTAGTATCTTTAGTAGTAGTACTCGTAGTAGAAGTAGCAGTAGCAATAGCAGTAGGAGCAGTAGTAGCAGTAGTACATAGTAGTAGTAGTAGTAGTAGTAGTAGTAGTAGCAGCAGCAGCAGCAGCAGCAGTAGCAGCAGCAGTAGCAGTAGCAGTAGCAGTAGCAGTACTCGTCGTGGTCGTCGTCGTCGTCGCAGTAGCAGTAGTAGAAGTAGTAGTGGTAGTGGTAGTTGCCGTTGCTGTTGCCACTGTCGTCGTCTTCTTCGTTGTTGTTGTCGTCGTTGTCGTTGTGGAAGCGCACATGCGGATGTGGCTGTGTTAACTCTGGTGTCTTTCTTTGTTGCATAATGCGCGACTCGTGGGAGCCTAATGAAAAGCATCATGCCCTTTGTCGTTAATGTTACGCTGGGTTGAATGGCCCCGCAGCAGCAGCAGCAGAAGTGGCAGAGCTAGTAAAATTTCACGAGTGTTGCACAAGTAGAAGCAAGAGTAGCAGTCGGACGAGTGGCAGTAGTAGAAGCATCTGTAGCAGTAGCAACAGCAGCAGCAGCAGCAGTAGTAGTTGCAGTAGTACTATAATGCTAGCAGTTCAGTAGTAGTAGTAGTAGTAGTAGTAGTAGTCGTCGTAGTCGTCGTCGTCGTCGTAGTCGGAGTCGTGGTGGTAGTAGTAGTAGTAGTAGTAGCAGTAATAGTAGTAGTAGTAGTAGTCGTCGTCGTCGTCGCAGCTGTAGCATTAGCTACCAGTACCACTACCACTACGATTACTACGATTACTACGATTACTACTACTACTACTACTACTACTACTACTAGAACTACTACTACCACTACTGCTACTACTACTACTACTCCTCCTCCTGCTGCTGCTGCTGCTGCTGCTACTAGCACTACTACTAGCACTACTACTAGCACTACTAGCACTACTACTACTACTACTACTACTACTACTACTACTACTACTACTCGTCGACTACGACTACGATTACGTCTGCTTCTACTACGATTGCAGTGGTAGTCGTCGTGGTGGTGGCAGTAGTGGTAGGCAGTACTTTGCAAATAGAAATTTTCAGTGTCAGTGCTGTTAATAAGAGTAGAAGCATTAAGAGTCGGCATTGTTTGTTGCCTTGCTCTTGTTAGGGAATCCGTCTGCTCGGAGGACAGACCGATTCCCGCAGGAGCGCTTCATCGTGCAGACAAAAAAGCATCAGAACATCAGAGTCTGGGAGGGAATGACATTTCGAATCAACCAATGCTGTCCTACAGTCCCCGACATCAATCTAAGGTAAGGCAAAACACACCAAAAAGCCTCGACACTGTCGAAACCCCCGAGCACACTCAAAAGATCAACCCCAAACATCCCAAGGATCTGCAATCAAGCTGCATCTCTGCTCTCTGATGGCTGCTGGTTTGATGGCCTAGCTCGAGGTTTTGTGCTCGGGAAATCTGGTAGCTCGCTGATGGAACGGTGATTGAAGAGGTTGGGGCTCACCAACGAGATTGCCTGCCCGCTCCTAAGAATTTCAACAATCCGAAAGTCACGAGGAAAGCATTTCTGTCGGCTTGTAGGTCGGGCAATGCGGTGCACGCTTACGAGGCTTGATAGGTCCACTCTCGTAGATCTTGAATTCTCGCAAGGCTTTTCGACGAAAACTGAGCAACCCGAACCTTCCTTTTTTGACTGAAGTGTCTGAGTACTTCACCACTTGCGTTTCAGGGCCTCGGGCCCCTTTGTAGAGCTATGTCAGATCACGGCACACCACTACATCCAAGCCCTGAGTGCTGAACACCCATGCACGACATACGACCACGAGATTGCTTCATTCTTTGGCTGTGCACTTCTGATCATCCATTGTCATCCACTTCTCATCTGTGTGTCCCGAGCTTATTTGTCCCTAAATCTCAAGGCCCAAAGGAAAACTGTGACTGTCATTTGCCGGCAGGCCTGGCATATCTCGGCGGGTGGTGTGGGTCCCCTGCGGTCGATGACCTCAGCCAGTGTCCAACCAGGACCGCCTAGCTCTCGCCCTGCGGGTGTTATGTCACATTTTGGGCGGTTTTGGTGAGTTTAAAGCGGCTGTTCTGAATGCACGGTTGAGGGACAGCCGTAACCCTGGCTTGATTACTGCTTTCATGGCGTACGCACGGTCGCGCTGCCTAACTCAAACGAGCATGAGCATGCACATGGCTGCTGCCTGGAGCATGGCTGCCCAAGCCCAGCAGCATACCACAGGACCACTTATACGAAGAGCGTGCAGCTGCTCTGGTGCTTCTATTCATGAACTGGCAAGCCTATATGTAACTCTGAACTTTCAACTCTATAGAATCTATAGAACTTGCATTCTTTGGGCTGCCAGCCCCGTTGTCCGGGACTTCAAGGCACCCCAACGGAGCATTCATTTGGCCCCCTTTCCTCACACAGACACACAGACGAAGCCTCCGCACAGCTCGATGAGCGAAGCGAAGATCACGACATCACAGCGCCGTGGAGCTCAATCTCCTCGGCTTCCCGGATCTTCCTTGCGCGGCGCATGCACAAGGCCACAAAAGCCACCAGGGTGACAAGTGCGATCGCGGCAACGGTCGCCCAATCCGGGAAGCCACCGCCACCGCTCCCACGCCCAGGGGCCGCCCTGATCTTCGGGAACTTGAGTCCGAGCCTCCACCGGCTGCATGGCACAAGTTCTTTAGCAATGCCCTCAAAGGTTACAAGATCAGATATACATCATGCTGAATATGATCTCGGGGGCTTCTGCATCTCTGGAATGACGGGTGGATCGGGTGGATCCTCGACCTCTCCTGTTGAGACTAGGAACGATGGACCCCAGAATCCAACACCAGTGCATTTGCTTTCGTCAACTGTGTACCACCCAGCATATTCGGTACCGGATGGAAGCACAAAGCTGGCTTGAATAACAGATTCGGTCTTGCCACGAGCAGACTCTGACATGAAGAAGGAGAGGGCCATGAACCAAGTCAACTGCGTCGTCTGATTGCTGTCATAGGCTTCGGTCAGCTGAAACGTTCCACTGCAAGCGTTGCTGGCATTCCCCATCTGCTTGCTGCACTTGAATACCGAGCTGGCGCATTCTATCTCCTGGATTTCAGTGGCTGCAGAAAGTGACTCGCTGGAGCAGTACTTTCTCTCAGCAGGTTGGGTGACAGAGAGCTGGGAGGGACTGCTTGCATAGTACGTAAGATCGTAGATGCCGGCAGCACACTCACGAAAGCACTTGCGGAGGACGTCACGGTGTTGGAGCAAGGCCCATGGGCCATGTGTCCAAGGATCCCGAGCTGCAGAAATGTCAATCGCGACCAGAGCATCCCCCTTCGGTACCGCATAACCTGATGTGGCACAGATGCGTTGCTCGGAACTTACAAGCTGTATGCAACAAAGCCTAAAGCCTGGAAATAAATCAAGCGGCCGGGCTCATGACAACCAGGCCACTGGGTGAAGACTTGACACTTTGGAGCATCTGGTTCGATTAGCTTGTCCCCTCAACAAATGTCCAAGGAACATTCTTCCCACGCCAGGGCCGACGCAAGGGAGCAAATGACCAGAAGCTTGCTGGGGGCCATCATGCAAAACGTGATATGCCGCGCTAGGTCTACATTCACACATCCTTCGAAATAACAGAACCTACGAGTATCTGTATCTACCCATCTTCCGCCCACTGTATACTCACTTCGTCACAAGTCTGGCAAGGTGAAAACCTGCATGACTTCCATTCAGGCAATTGGGTTGCCCGTTCGTTACAAGCACTTGGCTTCTGGGAATTCGAGCACTGTCGGGGCCCTACTAATTGCAAGACTTTGGGGTACACCATGATCTGCAATCCTGATAGACCGATGATCTGCTCGCAAGGAGTATTGCTATGAGGTTTTCAGGCTCAAGAGCAATATCAGCGGCCGAGCTTTAGAGATGTCCTAGGCCTAGGCGACCTAAGCCTTCGAAGAACGGCGCAGGTGACTTGACAGCAATGCTCGAAGTTCCAGGACAAAGAATTCGAGATCTGGATGATGGTTCATGTAAATTTGTCCTTCCAGAATGGTACTAATTCAACCGGAACCCTGACCCTTCCTGCCCTGCAATCGACGTGAACCGAACTCATGCACAAAAACACTAAACAGCTGAAGATCCCTCGAAGCATCGGGACAACCCATTCCCACGAGGTCGACACATCGCCCAAGACATGAGGCCTTGGTTGGAGTGTCTGCTCGCCTCAGGGATCCAGAACGGGCTCTGCTGGGCTTCAAGTCCTTCCGAGTCTCTGAGCCTAGAGATCCTCAGAAAGCATCTACTCTACGGACCGGTCCTCTTCCGAAGTGCATGGCGCAAGAGCGAGTGCATGGTCATGGGCTCGACTAAAATCTAGGCTCAAATCTCCAACCCTCCCAGGTCTTTCTAAGGCAGCGGCCCGGTTCGCGCCCGGCACCGCGCGCTGCGTGATCGCCAGGGCGAGGCCGGCGAAGCGCAGAAATTCCAAGGGCTCCTGGCTTCAAAAGGATCCCATCTCAGTACAAGCTATGATTACACTGATGGCCTTATATGCGAATAATCTTATATGCATTGAAGTAAATTTAGTATCGGCCGATTCCTCAAACACATGAAGGAAATTTCGTATCATCACTACTTGCAATATGGTGGATATAAAAAACATGGTAAGGCGCAAGATTACATTTTGTTACGATTAACGGAATAGATGTTTTCTGTTCGCAGAAAGCATGGACGGTATCATTAAGCTACGATTCGGGCAACAGAGGGAGTGCTTGTGTATGTGTGTGTGTGTGTGAAACTCCTGTCTCTAAGGAATGAGTTGTAATCAATCTTATCTAGCTTTCCTGAATGGTGAAGTCTTTCTGCTACGAGTCATTCTGCAACTATAGTCTTGATGCATCAATATTTGCAAAGCAGGGGTATTCCGTGATGCTGCCAACGAAGCTAGCGGAATAGGTGGAAGGAGCTATGAACGCATAGCTCTGTACCTGCTGCAGGTTTCACTTTTCGTCGGAAGTGATTGTAATCTTCTTTAGATGTTAGCCTTGAGATTCCAGCTTCAATTCGTTATGTACTTGTCATGTATCTACAATCCCTTGATTCTTCAATCTACAAGGTTTCAAAAGGCTCCAATAGTCAATAGTTGCATCTTACATTGAAATTGCCGATGTAAAAAAAGATATATACAAAGAGAGCAGAAATGCAACAAAAGAAGAACTGACAACCGGCACCGACCGGATAGTCCAAGTGTGTGTGTGTGTGTGCGTGTACGCATGCTACCCTGAAGTTGTCAAGCAGCCCCCGACCACATTGCGTCCTCAATCACACCAACGCTATATCGGCCCTTTACAGCAACCTGCTTTCCAACTAGACTATACCCCCGGTACGCCAACTAGCCCGAGTTGCACGAAATCAAAGCATGTCTACCCTAGAATCGGTTTCCAGTCATACGAAGTACGAATCCTCAGCTCTGAAATCCCACGTCCTGAACCTCTAAGCCCAAACTTCACATGCTGTCAGTTGAAAGCCCAACATCCCCCCATGCCGCTCCGCCAGGTCTGCGGTTTCGACGGCTTCCATGCCCTGTCAAAGTCGTGTCTTTTGTAGGTCGGGCCCACTGTTTGTTCTTTGGGCGGTAGGGGGATCACAGTCTTGGGGTGCATTGGCAGCAGTCGCAGCAGAAGCATCAGCAGCAGCAGTAGTCGTCGTCGTAGTCGCAGTAGTCTCAGCAGCAGCAGCAGGAGTAGCAGCAAAAGGAGAAGCAAACGCAGTAGTAGCCGTAGTCGTAGTCGTAGTCGCAGCCACAGTCGTAGCGGTAGCAGTAGCAGGAGCAGTGGGACGAGCAGGACTAGTACTAGTAGTAGTGGTGGTAGTAGTAGTAGTAGTAGTAGTAGTACTAGTACTACTAGTACTACTAGTACTACTAGTACTAGTACTTCCTTCCTTCCTTCCATTCGCGGCGAACGTCCATGGGGTCCGCCTAGCGTGTCGGCGAGCTACCCAGAGCCCGGTTGCATAGCAACAATGTCTTGGACATTCCTTGACTTAAAAGCTCAAAGTGCATTGCCGGTCCGAGGACCCTGCGCAACGAAACGATCCGAGCCGTAGCTCCAGCGATCTCACTTTGAGAAAACATTCGTGGAGCAATCAAGCCATCGTTGTTCGACAGCTGTACAGGCGAACATTGCAACTCAAAAAACTCAAGAATCCGGCTGACTTATGCATTGACATCCCAGCAGTCACGAGGAGGCACAGCAGCTCAGTAAGAAGGTCGAAGCTTGCTAACCTCTGCCAACAATCTCAGCACTCTCACCTGGGTGGGTCAGTGACGGATTCCCAGGTCCCAAAGAGCCGACAGCATACTGGGTATGTGGCCCAGCACCGATATCCAAGCATGACCTCGGAAACCAAGCAACTGAAATTCCAATTGCCATGAGCATGGAAAAGCTGGCCCTTTTCGAGAGCAAAGAAAAGTGCACCGTGGTCAGCAGAGCATCCACTATACATCACCTCAGCCAGCAGCACGTTCGACGAGCCTAAAGCCCTGACCTTTCAGCACCTGAACGGCATTCGGCCTAAGATTCGCATACTGGCCAATATGAAAGGATAGCAGCAACAAGCGATCGCCCTTCCACGGCATCGAGGCATGAACTTTGTGCGGCGGAAACATAGCTGCCTCTTGCACAGAAATAACATGCCCCGCCGGCCCTGACTGTGACAAGTGAGTCATTGCCTGCTCATCCTCCACAAAGATCTCGCCCCCTTGAAAGGAGGAGCACGGCAGGGCCAAGTTGCATGAGCCCACCAAGTTACGCGAATCCTTGTGTGGCGCTGCAGCTGTGTTGAGCGAAAGCGTGCAGGTGGAAAAGCAAAGCTCCTCATTAAAAGTGCTGATGACTCCTGCCAGTGCACGCGCGGTCCAGGGAAATTGCATGGAACTGCGCATGACACCCGCCATGTTGCCAAAATTCCAAGCACCAAAGGTGAAGCGTTTCGGTCGCTGCATCGAAACACTGGACACAAGAGTATCTTGATTCCAGCGAATTCTAGTGTCTTCCGGAAGAAAGGACAAAAGGCGTTGCAGCTGACCCCAGGTGGCTTGTCCACTAGATACCATCCCACAGGCCAGAGCCTCCGCTTTGCACTCAGAGGGCACACAAAGCCCAGCCAGAGACACGTTGCGAATCAGATACACCTGCCGACGAGCATATGCATAGCGAAGATCCTGCTCATATGATGTCAACGGACCTGAGCCTACCATAAAAATGCCACTAAGTGTGCGAGCGGGGACAACCTCCGGGTACCATTGACACTCCACATCTTCAAGAAGACAATCAAGATCCATGGAGTCTTCGAGTGTGTCACAGGCACCCTCACCTTCAGAGATCTGAACTGCTGCCATCTGTGTGCATCGCTGCTTTTTCTGAGGGGGCATATGCAATCTCCGAGGCGTAAGCGAGGGAATCCTGCAAGAGCATCTACCGGAGCATACAGCGTAGAGCCCAAGCTAGCACCCAAAAGAGACAATCGACAAAGGCAATGCAGTGCAGGCTGCTTACAAAGTGCATCCACTCCAGGAGGCTGCCGTAGATTACCGTCACGAGCAAAGCTGCAAACCCATGAAGCATCTAAGCATACGGCAGGGCCAGAATCCAGGTAGAAGTCCTCGTGAAAATTCCCGTACATCGAGTCCACCTGAGTGAAGCAGCAGAGGAATGGAGCAGTCCAGTCACAGCAATTATCGGTCCATCTCGCTTTTCACAGCATAGCTCGACACTTCAGCCGAAAGCGCACTGGAACCAGAACGACTATGTCGAATTGCATTGGCTCATGTAGAGCTCGAGGGTCAATGATGGGAGGAGTGTCCCGCAGCGAGCTGCCAAGCGGACATCCGGCAGAGGCTGTTGCCCTGCAAAATTAAACCTCAAAACAACATCGAAGATGTGTCGCACCCAGGCCGACCCCCGGCCACCCTCCTGCCAATGAAGCCCGATTGAGGATCACGGCTCGGTCCAGTGAGGCAGCCCAAAATCCTACCAAACCAGAGCATCGAGCCATTGCTGAAGTAGTGGGGCTAGGCTCGAATGGAGGCGGCAATGTTGTTGGCCAGCGTTGAGCGCGCAACCCGATCCGGCTTGAGCTGCGTGGCAACAAGCTGCAGCACGGCATTGTAGCACAGAGCTTTGAGGCTGGAGCGGATGCTTACGCACGCATCGCCAAGGTTTCCCACCTGAATGAGAAACACGATACTTTCGCCCTGCATTCCATCAGCCAAAGGCCTGGTGGGATGGAAACGGGCCAGGCTATTAGTGGTGACCGCATTGGCGAGCAGGGTGTCGATGTGCTCCAATATCTCAGCATTGGTCAAGGGAGGCTTGGCAGTGTCAATGACGTTGCGCTGAGAGGCGCCATCCCACTTCAAGAACTGCCAGGTGACAGGCACGCCTTTCACCAACCATCCTAACTCCGCCATCTTGTCAACATCAGCCTGGCGCGAATCCAAGGCTTGGATACGCGTCTTGAGCTCGGCAAAGAAGCAGACAAAGAGGGAAGTCCTCATCGGCCTGTCAAGCTTGTGCGGCTCCTGGGCTTTGAGTTTACGCCATCCATCCGCCGCCACGTACAGCATATGCACCACGCTGGCCGGAATGTTCAGGCGCATGTGGGCAACAAAGCTGAACTCCAGCTTCAACAAGTTGATGCTGTCTTCATGACGCAGAGCCAATCGCTGCATCATCGAAATAGCCTTCTGCATCTCCTTGATCTCGTCGTTGTCAGACGACGAGCCAGCATTGCCCTTCCATTCCTTGGACCACTGCTCCCTGGCCCAGTCCTGCTTACGGCCCCACGATCCATGCTGACGCTTCGGCGCCTGCTGCGCGGCACCATCGCCAGAGCTTCCCGGGGCTCCAGCCGCACCCTTGCCGTTGCCTGATTTGGCCTCGCTGGTCTTCTGGAGCTTCGAGCCCCTTTCGTCAATGGTCGCCGCTGTGGAAATTTCCGAGGGAGGGCCAGAGGCCATTGCAAAACCCTCCGGCTTGTACTGGAGGTAGAACTGCCATTCCTCAGAGCCTTCCAGCGCGTTCATTGGGGCATCCGAGGACGTCATTTCGAGCAGCCGAAGAAGCAGCGTAGGGCCAACAGCAATACTAGCAGTCACGCCTGGGCCGGCTCTCATCAGATTGAGCCGGAATAAGCCAGGCAAGATACATGAGGCTCTCGCGTTCAGCTGTCCAAAGCACCGAAGAGGGCGTAGCATGATCATCAGTATGCATCCAGCCACTGGCAGTCTTGAGAACCGCACGGTAGTGACCAGATACAACGCTTTCTCCGTGATGCTCAACGACAGCCCGAACCTGACAAGAGCGCCACTCCACTTGGATGCCATGTAGAAAGACAGGAATCCAGATCAGCTGAGAGATGTGAACCGGAGCCTCATGTTTGACTTCATCAGCATTGCGAGCAAGATGCAGAAGCACAGGGCCTTCAAAACGAGTAAGTGCATGGACACAGATCTGATTATGCCAATCATCAACCAGAGCCTGAAGAGTGCATGAGGATGATCGCATACGTAATGAAATGGGAGCACCACCTGTATGAAGAATTTGCATACCATCGTCATCAGGATACCGGGCCTCCCAAAGGACATGGCTGAGCGCCAAGCCTTCCAGGAGGATTGTGGTGAACTCCGCTGCGTCGTGCTGTCGATTGTCAAAAGTCCATCGCCTGAGAATCGTGCTTATAATCAGCTGAGGCGCTAAATGTAGCACTTCGGAGCGACGAACAAAACCCTGACACAGTTCACGAAGAGATAGCAGAGCCCGCGACGTGACCCCCGCAGCCTGCATAGTATGAAGCACAGCATAAACGGAAGCATTCATGTAGCAATGATTGTGCCGGTTTCCAAGAATGAGGCTGCAAAGCCATTGCACTGGTAGCGGAGCAACACCAGGAGCGGCTGAGGTAGCCAGGTTCCTGTCAGGTCGGCGGGTGTCCACACTAGTGGAAACCTTCGTCTGGTGATCAGCCTGAGCAGTTGTCGTGGATGCACTCCGAAAGTAGCGGCCAATGGGCGTCTTGGCAAGATCATGCTGCTTGTATTGTGGCTCCTGCTGTGATTGTTTAAGCGAGGGTCCCCTGCCTGGAGCTGGAGCGTTGTATCCACGACTCTGCCAGCACCTGGTAGCTAGCAGCTGAAATACTGCCGAGCATTTGCCTGCATGATCTCTGGTACTCCGAGCCTTGCTGCCACAGAAAATGCAGGGGGAGCTGAACGCCGAACACAGGCTTTTCGAGCCTGCAATAGCATCAGCAGAAGCCGACGCCCACTCTTGTGGATGAGAGCGCTGCCAGTGGATTTTGATCTTGGAGCTGTCCGGGATGAGTTGCCTGCACAGAGAGCAATTGGTAGCCAGCACCTGGAGTTTGCCACCCTGCTGTCGAAGAGTGGCGGGCTCAACCTGCAGCGCCGCGCTGATGTCAACATCGAGTTGGTGCTGAGCGATGGCCTTTGCGGGCGCAATGGGGGGACTTTGTTGTTCTTCAGTCCGTACTTGGCGTAGCATGGATTCTTCATCATGGCCACTGGCGACAAAGCTTTTGATGCGCGAGCAGGTGCCTTCTGTGATGTGCTTCTCAAGCGATCGCCAATCATGAAGACGCGCCTGGCAGAATCTGCAAATCGGAAGGCCATGCAAGGCATGTTGATCACGGCGAAAAGCAAGCCGAGCAGATACGTTAAGGTGTGGGTGCCTGCGCTGAATGTGCATGTTCAAGCTCGCCTGCGAATCAAAGGAAACTCCACAGCACGGACAATCAACAGCAACCGCATCAACCTTCGCAACACGGATAAGTGTGGACATCGCCGGGGTGTCCTCAAAGCCCAGCATTCTTTGATACACATGATAGCAGTGCCGACTCTCCTGGACCTTGATATGGTCAGCACGACGAGAGTCTTGAAGAATGCTTTCGCCTTTGCTTTTCACCTGGAACAAGAAGAAACCCCTGGGATCAAGATCAGCACGCTGAAGAACTGCACGATTGCTGACGCCCTCCTCATGTACCCTGAGGACTTTGCGAAGGTGCCCTGCAAGAAGAGAACCGACCCCTTTGAGCACATCAACGGTCAACCCCACACTGGAGAGAGCATACCACAAGGTAGGCCACACAGTGGCCTTGTAGATGCGAAGCCGATGGCGGCAGGCAATGGCACCATTGGTACGCAAAACCCGGCGTAGTTCCTGAAATCGAGCATTTGCTTGTTGAGCTCTTGTTTTGTATGTCTGTAGCTCAAAGTTGTCATAGGAGAGCGTGGCCCCCAGATAAGGCATGCTTGTGCTACACGGTATGTACATGTCGCAATCAGCGCAACGCAGACGAAGATGTTGAGCTCCATTGCGCCAAACCAGGTACGACTTGCTTAGGGTAGCAACAGCTCTGCCACACAATCTGAGAACAACAATGGACTTCTGAAAATTAACAGACATACCCAGAGCATGCAGGGCCTCGATCAGGGAGCGAAGTTCGCGCACCGCATCCTTGAAATCTTTCACTGTATGAAGAACCCAGCAAGAGAAGATGTCATCGGCGAAAAGCGTGCAGTGTTCGGCAGACCATGAGACAACGATGCGACGATCGAGAAGTTTGCACAAACGACACGACCACGCAGCGTAGACAATGGGAGCAATAGGACATCCTTGCCTGAGCCCCCTGGTCATAGAGGTGACCCCTTCAGTTCCCCCATGCCTCACAAAACATCTGGTTTGAAGATGTACCTGCACCACCGCAGCAGCTAGAGCATCAGGAACCCCAGCATCGACCAACCCGCCGTGAATCTCTGAATGCGGAAGAGCATCAAAGGCTTTCTGAAGATCAATGCCACACATGAGGCCGCCTACTAAGGGAATGTTGGCATCCCCCAAGATCTTGGCCGTATGGTCGCTCCGATGTCGTTGCAGGAGCTTGCGAACAGAGCTGCAATGCCCGGCTGCTCGCATGAGTGCATCGGCAGTTGAGGCGCCCTTGCGGTAGGCGTACTGTGGATGCTGTCGCATGGTATCCTCAATGTAGGGAGCTATAGCACCCCTCAGCACGATAAGAAAAGCCTTGCAATCAACCGACATAAGCCCAATCGACCTCAAGTTCTGTGGCCTGGACGGGGTTTTACCAGCTTTGGCGAGCCAGGCAAGTTGCACATCGGCCCACTCTTGAGGAATACATGGTGTGTCACAGCACAATGACTGAATTGCAACCTGACTAAGCTCGGAGGCAGTGGAGGCATTGCATTCCTTCCATTGTTGTACAGTCGGCATGCCAGCAGGTACAGCTTTACCTATCCTAAGGCTGCTTATGGCACCAAACCACTGGTCAGGATGAAAAATTGCTGGGTCCAGGGGCTGAAGCTGAAGGTCGGGCACATCCGTGGCCCTCCGTGCTTGAAACAGTCCAGTCGCATATTCAACCAGCATTCGACATTCCTGCTTAGGATGCATGAGCCGACCCTCGTCATCCCGAAGACGGATGGTGCTGCGGGCACCACGCGGTGCAAGCCACCTCACACACTGGTAGAGGGAGCGACTGTCGCCAATTCGCGACGAGTGCTCTGCCAGACTCAGAGTTTCAAGTAGCTGCTTGCGCTTGTTGGCTCGAATAGTAGCTTGCAGTTCGCGACGGCGCCGCTGGAGCTGTAACACAAGTCGCATTCTAGCAAAGATGTCCCTCATGCTACGCGTGGATTGTCTGGCGAGAAACCTACGCGCTTCCCAGAATCTAAGAATTTCGCCATCAGCCCCAACAAATCCAGGTCGCTCAACACCTCTCCTGGCCGGCACAACATGTTCCCTTACCTGTTGCACCACCTCCTGCAGCTGCTGATTGCGTGCATAAGCTGCGCCAGTGAAGATCGGTGATCGACGTGCCCGCTGCTGGGATGCCTTCCATGGCTTCCATCGAAGTGGAATGGTAGCTTGCAACATCTTATGCCCCGACGAGCGCCATCCTGCAATGGGCGCCTCTTTGGGGACGCACTGTTTGGCTTGCCGATCAGCTAGGGCGGTGCGGACCAGGATCCAGTCGATTTGGGAGGATCCGGAAGGATGCACGTACGTGGGCAGCTTGCGCGACCACGAGTTCAGCACTGCCAACTGGTGTGATGCCAGCATGCCAGAGAGCCACAGTCTTTCTTCAGCTACAGACTTCTTAGCTGAGTTATGAAGCACACTATGGCCAATGCAGGAGCCCGTAGAACAAAGGTTAGAATTGAAATCCCCAGCAACCACAACCGAAGAACGTAAAGGAAACGACTGCAGAAGAGAGTCCAACTTGCCCCAAAGTTGACGCCGCTTCACCAACGCTTTCTCAAGCTCCTTGGAGTCAAAAGGCAGCACGTGCTGATAGATGCCGATGAAATCCAGATGTTGATCTTGCGCAAAACATCGCACATGCAACATCCTACCAGGATGCACCTCCTGCCATCGCAGGGACTCCTTGGCACAGAAAGTGTCTCGAAAACCCATCAGCACACCGCCCTGATGGGCCTTAGCAGCTGCACTGTGGATAAATGTCCAACCTTCAGCAGTCCACTCATTCAGGAAGGCTCTGTGAGTCTCTTGCAAACAGACCACCTGGATACCTGGGTGGAGTCTCAAGTGTAGTTTCAGTTCTTCAAACAGTAGCTGCGTAAGGCCGCTGCAGTTCCATGACAGGATGTTGATTCTAGGCGCTGGCGAGACAGCTGATGTCACCGTCTTCGCATAGTTGTACTGCGGATCACATGTTAAACGCCTGCCCTTATAGAAGGAGTCCTGTCCCATCTGCGCACGCCGAATAGCCCTTAGCAATGATCGCTTCTTGATTTTGCTCCTTGCCAAGCTGTCAGCTCTGATGGAGCCGACCAAGCTTTCCCTCTTCTTTGCCGAAGCTTCAGATGGCCCAGAGGGGAAACCATCAACCCTCGCGCCAGAGGATGCAACTGAAGTCGTAGTTGTCGCTACAGTAGAAATCCCCTCCCGGAATTGGGACCGGGTCGAGCAGGCACCTCCAAGTAGTGTTGAAGAGCGATGTGGCATATATAAAGAACTGTCATTGTGCCACCCAGGAAGATCTGTCTTGGAGGTCGTGTCAGGTGGAGTCGTGGCCAGACCAGAGAAAATATGAAAACCCATATCCCTGCAGAGCCTATTCAAAATAGGCAAGACAGTGTGGATAATTGCAATTGCAAAAAGCCCTGAGCTGCAAAATTTCCAATTCCGGAGCTATGGCCTGAAAGTCCTGGATGATTCTGTCCTCCGTCGAAGTCGCCCAATATGCCCCCAAAAGGGAAGAGAAATATGCCTTGGAGGTCTCAGATTCACAGGCCTGGTCCAGTAATTCCAGAAGAATGTCAGTAGCAGCGGCTCTGATATGCAATGCTGCAGTCAGGGAGATGGCCATGGACGCACGACCCGCCGCGTTTGAACCGCTCGTGGCGCTTTAGTACTAGTACTAGTACTACTACTACTACTACTACTACGACGACGACGACGACTACTGATACTACGACTACTACGACTACTACTACTACTACTACTACTACTCCTACCACTCCTACTCCTACTACTGCTGCTACTGCTGCTACAGCTACTGCTGATTCTGATACTACTACCACTAGTACTATCACTACCTTTTCCACTTCGACGACGACGACGAATGAACGGGGACCCCTGGTAGCAGCCCCGGAAATGCAGCACCTACACGCAAGACCGAGTCCGTACGGCTCAACCGAAATTAAGAGCGTCTTCGTCGTGGAACACGTGCCAAGATTCCCCTGTGGCCGCAGTTTTTCCCGCGATCGAACTTCAGGAGTCAGCGGAACTTACTGAGCAAACACACCCTGAACCATGCACCTAACGTACACAGTTTAACCTAGACCCGATCCCCTATGTCCCTTGCAAAAGGGGCTTAAGCCGAAGTGGGCTGCCACTAGCACTTGTACTAGACCAGGCTCAGTTGTCCAGTGAGATTCTGCGATCACCCTAGCGGACCTTTAAGACTTCATCTTGAAAAGACACAACGAGGCACCTGAGGCAAGGTGTCCTCCGGTGCCATTTCATCTTGCGACAGCACGTCGCCCATGCTGCCCCCAGGGGTGTAGGCTGGTCCGGATCAAAGGGCTATGTCGTGACAAGGTCCCTCAGGCGATGGTCCCAAGCGAAATCTTATTCCCATTCCACTTGCTGTCTTCTAAGATGAGGTTGACATGAAGATGGCTGGGCGCCACTGTAGCACGTAAGATGAATTACTCAGCCATGATCCATGCCTCTGGAAGCTAAGCACCCAGCCTCAGTCTTTTCACTACTGGTGTCGAGACGAAGATGTGCAAGAAACTCAAGAAGCTATGCTGAAAGTGAAAAGGCCACGGAGTGGAAAACGTTGTGGCCGGAGTCCACCACCGACGCTTGCTTGCTCCGACCTACACACGAGCAAGCACAAGAATGCTACAATGGACTCTGCCCTAAACCTTGTAGACAGCCCCGCGGTGTACGGCTCTTTCGGTCAAGTGGGAACTGCTTGGCTCATGGGTTCACGGCTACGTAACCATGCAGCTCTACAAGTGCAGCGCCTTCAATCATACACCAAGTTCCCCGTTGCTGGCATCTGAGATAGTTGCAGCTGCAGGATCTGCACGATTTTCTGCGCATCTGGCAGCCAACACAAGTCCAGAACACTGTCCGGGAACTTCAGCCGGAGAGGCTGGCCCAAGAGCTACGAGCTTAAGACCCGATGCAGCTATATGTATATATATATGTGTATATATATATATGTATATATATATTATATCTAACTACTCTAACCATCTATATCCATGTATGTGCGTTTTATGTATACGTTTGTATATGCATGCATACATACATACATACATACATACATACATACGCCTGCTTCAGATGCTTCAGGGGCTCCACACACTACACCTACTGCATATGTTAACTACTACTACATACGGTACGCATGTTACATATACTACATATAATCCATAGGCTACAATGCTACACGCATTACATACAGATTGTTACATATCTTACATACTGCAGGGCACACGCTACTTACAACTATTGCAAAAACACATTGGCAAAGTGCATTACATGCAAAAGTTCTTTACCGAACATACATTGCATACAATACATGCATCACACAGACTACGTACAATGTGTACATTGCATGCATTAACAAAGAACATGCAAAACATTGCATTGCATGGCATGATTAAGTTACTGATACATCACACACATTACATACGTGAAGTGAACAACTTTCATCACATTACCTTACATGTGATTCACTCCGCACAACACACAGTGCGTTACATGTTCACAGTTTTTTGCACAGCAAGACATTAAATACATCGACAACACGACATACATCGTCAACACTATATACATCGCGTACATCATGTATATGATATCCATTGTGTAGACTGTATAAGCTACAGACACTACAGACGCAACACACAAACATACATGCGTGCATACACAAACGAGTACCAAATAATTACATCCATCCGTCCATCCATCCATAACAAACTTACATGCAAACAGACATGCATACATACATTCACGCAGATATATGCAATTAAGAGCACATGTACATATGGCTGTATTGCAGGTACGCATGCATGCATGCATGCATGCATGCATGCATGCATGCATGCATTGATCTGTGTATGCATGTGTAGTATTTACGTCGTTCATATGCATGCATGCATGCATGTTTAAACACACTCACTCACACACAGAGACCTACATTCAGACTGCTTCGCGGTCTGAGAATACTTGCGCTCTTTCTAGTAGTACTTATGTTCTTACTTACTAACATACTTCCTTGCTTGCTTGCTGTCTTACATAGTTACGCACACGATAATATGTATGTATATCTCTCAATCCATCTATCTAACTATCTAATTATCGATCGATCTATCTGTCTATCTATCTACGAGTCTCTATCTATCTATTTGCTAAATATGACTCTTATATGACTATGTTATGTTGTAATTAAGCGGTTGTTTAGTACTTGCCGCGACGCAACCAGGTCTCCGGCAACGGCATCAGCACTGCAGTTGGAACTGCCTGGCTTCGGAGATCTTCAGAGAAGGCTCGCGCAGCGCAGCACGTGCATCCGCATGAAGGAACCCGCGGGCTCGATGCAACAGTTGTGTCTGAAATGCCTGAATCTACGAATCTACACCAAATATACCAACTACCACTCCCTCCCAGTGAGGCCGCCTGAACCTCCTCGAGCGGGCGTGTTCAGCCCTTGACCTTGAGCAACCTCGCCGGTTTGCGGGGTTGAGAGACTTCTCTGCTGCGCCTTTCTGGCCGGTGCTCAGCGCTCCACGGCCAAGATCAAAAAAAAGCCCAGAGCATCCCCAAAACCTGTGAAGGAGATCCCTCGAAGTCGAGAGGCTGCATCTGAAAGACCAGGGCAGCATTTGGCGGAATAGGTCCTGCACGAAAATTCCAAGAGGTGGACAGCTCGTTTGCCCCTGTTTCGGTAATCGAAGCTCGAAAGACACCGTCTCCTGCAGCTCCAGAGTGTTGCAGTGAGTGACCTACTATTTATTCTTGCTTGTGCGAGTAGAGCCTACAACTGGGATGTAATCAAACGAACAAACGGGCACAGCCCGCTTGAAACTAGCCCATCACCAAGTGCCCAAATGATGAGAGAGGAACCAAGTACGACTTCTCGGTCACCTCGTGATGTCTAAGTGGCCTCCGGGAGTCCCCTCCGCGCCGTAGCCCAGCTCCGAAGGGATGTAGAGCTCCCACCTGGTTGCTAGGGGATCTGAATACATCATCCACTACATAATGATATATGATATGTCCTGCTACCCTTTAATAACGTTTCTCGCGTCACGCCCAACAGTATTGCCGTCGCTGCGCTTCGGACCTCAAAGTGGAGCTCAGTGCATGAAATCAAGAAGAGGCGCTTGTCGCCCTCCTTCATAAGCTGCATGGCCTGCCAACATCAGGAATAGGAATGGCATGGGTATTGCAGTGGCCAATTGGAGCTCTACCAATTAAGATGTACTTGGTTTCGGTTATTGAGCACAACAACAGAGATCAAGAGACGAAGATGGCTGTCTCTACATCTGCCAACCCGTGCAACGCATCTCTCATGCGCCCATGGACAAGAGTTTCAGAGATGAAGAGAAACAGATGGTGCAGAGTCGATACATCGACGTACGCATACTGAAGGGGGGCCTCGGTCCAGCCCGGAATCACCTGCAACAGATGCACACATGAGGAGGCAGCTTGAGATGGTACTTTCGAGGGTTGCCGCCTGACTATCCAAGGACATCCTTGCATGTGGCAGACGTTGTCACACAAGAGCTTGTGCAATCTTTAGCTCGAACTCTAACCTGAAGGCTCGCTGGCGTTATGATGGGAGCTTGTGCCTACGTGAGTGCTGCTGCCGGTTGTGGCACGTGTGCAGGGATGACAGGTTACATATCTGTCACAGTAACAACGCACAATACAGTAGCAGCAGCATGTGCCGCAAACCCAAAAGCTTGCCACAAACTGCGCCCAAACCCCTTGGCCTGTGAAGGTGCGAAGGTCAGCGGCTTGCCGCGTTTGTACGACGAATCAAACTCCCTTGGATGCGATTGCAGAATCAATTCTTGGACATTTTCATTGCCTCAGAGTTACATGGCTTCGCTGCCAAAGACTGCATATAGCATCATTTAGCATCACCTCTTCGAAAGATTGCCTCCATTTGTTGTGCACACTACCAGGGACCAGCGCAATGACCAAGGCTCATACACATGTTCTGCAGG